AAGCGAGTTGTTTGCCGGGCGCATGATAGCGCAAAATTGTAGAGGCAACGCAGCAGACCAGAGCTGACGCGTTCTCTCGTCGGACCAACCCATTCGCGTAGCTCCGAACCCCCGCTACACCATTAGCGGGGACCCCTCCTCCCCGTTCCCGCTACCTCATGCTCGGAGCCCCCTCCCCCCCGCTGTCCCCGGACGAGGGTTTCACACCTACCTGACACGCTCGTTCGAAGGCCGGCTGCCTCTCCCGTGTGGATGGTTGTTCACTCACGACCATTGTTCGCGTAACGGTTTCGGCAATTTTGTAACCAACTGGCATGAGTGACCATGCCCGCAAAACTGAGTCCCTCTCTTCTCTCCCCGCCCATTTCTTTGGCCTCTCTCCGAGCCCCAGGGAGGCTATTTCATGGCGAAGACATCAGTTTCGAATAACTCCAACGGATAAATCGTGGGAGCTTGATACCTTCAGCACACGCACGAGGTGAATCGTTATACCTACACCCGTGCGAAAGCAACCCCCCCCCCCTCCCCCCCCTCCCCTCAATTTCGCCACGAACAATCACCAACGATATTGTCTCACACATTGCCTGGTACTGCCTTGATAAATAAAACTTCATCGGCGCTTCAGACAAAAAAATGGTAGCTCAGACGCGGGTGCAATATTCGGAAAATAGCTCGGGATCCGTGTCGCAGATTGTTCTCGCCGCCAGCCAAGGCTTCGTGTTTACAGGCGGGAACTAGGGGGCCGTTGCTCGAAGGCCTTGAGTCTCATCACGCCCCCGTCGGGCATCACGGAAAGCTGAAAATTACGAGCGTGCGAAGGGACGACAACGAGACGGAGCCTGATCAGAACGAACACACGCAATGGCACGCCGAAGTGGCACGTGATAGGACGAATCGGGACATTTCCCGTTAAAAGAGAAGCGTTGAATCGAGGCACACTAGGCTCGCTGTAAACAAGCCGTTCGCTCGTCAACAACCACTTTTTGATTCCCTGATGTTTTCTAACAAACGAAGAAATACCTCGTTGTGTATCCCCCTTGCCAAAACAAAAGGGAAACCCGTCGAACGATGGCAGCAATAGTGATCGCAATCCTCGAAGGGACAAAGGAATACACTCAAAGCACGCGCAAGCACACGGCACATCGTCCGCTGTACCTCTGTACAACGCGCCTGCCGTGGGCACAAAATAGAACGTCCTATCTATGTTTATTCCCGCAGCGTTAAACTAATTAGCATCCGTTGCCTTGGCGTGGCTGATGGGGCCCAGGTTCTCGATCTTTCCCTTGCCAATCTCTCCCTTGCCAAGCTAGAAGACGTGCTCTCTTGAAGGTCAGATTAAGAAACATACACACGCACGCCAGCGCACGCACCCACGACACGCAACAATAAATTGAATGTAAAGGGGGTTCTCGTGACAAAAAACGATTTAAGGTGTATCTCCTCCGAAGAGAAAAAAACTCCTTCGCGTAACCCGCTCTCCAAATTTGAATTATCGCGTTTTTTTTCATCTGCCGGAACCTTGAGACGGAATGACAGATACACAATGCTTTCGCATCCCGCGAGAGACCCAACGTTGCTGCTGCCGGAGCTGGGCCTGCCAAGCAGCCGCTGTTTCGCGCACCGTCAAGCGGACTAGAAGAGCTTACCTGCTGGAACCGGCCTTGTGCCTCGGCAGCAACGGGCGCCACGGCATGCGCTCCCCTCCGTCCGCGAAATCCTGCCGGGCTTTCCAAGAAAAAAAAGAAAGCAGCACGATTGGAAACAAAGTGTACGAAGAGACAACGGGGGTGGGGGGTAGGCCTTCGATTTTCTCGCTGTCGGTGCCGCCCAGTGATATGATTGGTGTCCATGTCGAAGCTATCACCGAGTCGAGGGCGTCGGGGGACATGCACGCCTCCACCAGGATGCTTTCCGGGAAATTTCCTTTGGAGTGGTTGGTGTCGACGACGAGGCGCTTCACCTCTCCGATCACCCCCAGCCGGAGAATAGCCCAATCGCTTCCCGGTGCCTGGTGTAGAAATTAGGAGATGGGCGGGGGACAGGATCAGCACAGAGGCAGGCAAAGGGTAACGGAGTCGCATGGTAAAAGGAGGGATCAGTGGCCCGTCGACACTAACGAAGTAAGGTAGCGTACCGCTGGGAACAAACGCGCCGCGTCCGTCATTTGGGAACCAATTGACGGAAAAATGCCACCAGCCCGCCTCGCTACATACGTACACACACAGAGCTGGCCCTCTCCAACGCCGCCTACGCCGCCGTCTTGTCCTTATTGAGCTTCTCTCCACGTACGCCTTGGTCTTGTTCTTCACTTCCCTTGCAGCTCCTTCGCAAGCGCCGATTTCTCCTGGCAACACGAAAATTCAACACATCAGCACCACCAAACACATCGGGCAGGTCAGCAGTGCTCGCCACGAAAATGTCGGTGACCAATAATGTTGGCCTTGCGAGGACGGGGAACAAGGAGGACATGTGTCGTCCAGAAACTGCTGACTGTTCACTCCTTCCTCCTCGTCACCCTGTCTTATGGCCCCACTATTGGAAGCTAGCCTATCGGGAAGCAGCTCGTTCCCCGCGCGGAGATTGTTAAATCCAGAATACAGAAACTGACGGGTCCGACTGACGTATATAGCGTCTGGGCAGAAACCTAGAGAGTTGCGGCAGCCTGCAGCAAGCAACAGATACACAACCTTTGCGAGGCACAGCGGAGGCTGCAAGGTGCCAGCGGTTGACGCCGCCCCGTTGTTGGTCTGAAGGGCCGGCTTTTTTCGGGTACTGAGCCAGTGGGAAAGCAGGCTTGAGAAATTTGACGGATGGAGAGGCAATGGTTTGGGGTGGATCCGTTGACTAGTTGAGGTGCAGCGACGGCGTTCTCAGAACATTTCTCCAGGACCCTGAAATGGCCAAGAGGGCGATCAAAGGGAGAGAGACCACAGAAGGATTCCAATCCAATGATAACTCAGACCTCTTCGACGGCAGCCTCTCCTCATGATCGGTGCCGAGTTTCGTGGACGCGCTTAAACGGCGCAAGTGTGAGCCTCGAAGGTGGCTTGTGGATGCGGGAGGAGGTACTTTGTTGTGGATATGGTTTGTGCTTTGATCATCTGTGTTGCTAAGAGCAAGACTGCTTGAACAGGAAGGGAGCTTGTGCGTGTGACAAAAGCTCTCGACAGGGTCCCTGCAGACCCACAGAACTCTGAGCCACCCCATAGGGATTATGCCAAACTCTCCCAAGGTACGTAATTCCGATGTACCCGTAACTACATAACCGTAACAGAAACACAGCTCAGCGGTGGATCTTAAACTTAAGCCTATCTAACAGCCTGTGTGCTCGACAGTAGTGGTGATGAAATGAGAAGCTCTTCCTCTAACCGATTGTGGCAATTCTTATCTCGCGCCCGTTCTGCACTGGTGCGTGCATGATGTTTGCGCATGGGAAACAATCACAAGGTCACTGTCGGAGGGGAAGACAAAGAGGGACGAGTGGACAAAATTGACGTTTTGGTTCGTTTTTTTGGCGTCTCTTGTGATTTCGTCCGGGTCGTTTGGGTTTGGAACGTATCGCGACAGCTCTTCCCAACGTGTTGTGCTCTAAGCGGAAGTCTACTATTATAGGGGCCAAACAAAGTATCCAAGTTTCAACTCCTCGACGGTAGTAGTAAGTAAGGCACATGGTCTAGTCGGGAGCACACTTGTTCCAGGATGGGCCTTTTGTTGCGAAGGTGTCGAACACGACAGCACTCGTCTTTAGTCGTGAACTTTCGATATTGCAATGTTGCCGTAGGACAAACACAAACAACGAGCGAGCCGAATGAGTTGTTGTTGTTGTTGTTGTTGTTGTTGTTGTCTTCACATTAAAAACCGTTCCGATCTCTCTACCCAGTACCTTCATCTGTCCGTACTAGTTTAACCCTTGACGCGGTCGATTCCTGTAGTCACAGGCTTACTACTGAAAATAACGATAGACCTTCCGCAAGACAATACTTCTTCTTCTGTAGTAGATGGGAAGCGGTAAACGAGACACACACGCGAGTCTCGTTTTAAAAACATGAACCCGGGGACAGGACACTACTACCCCCGGGGTATCGTATACAAAACGAGACCCCGGGGACAGGACACATCCATCCCCGGGGTTTACCAGTGGTAGATTCAACGACAGGTACAAGTTAGTTGTTGTTGATTGTTGTTTTTCTTCACATTAAACTCGTGTCAGTTGTTAATCCCAAAATCTAGCGAAGACTCGGTCCGTGGTCACAAAAATGCTAGAGCCATCAGAAAATCTAAAAACACACACTATTAGCAAGAAAAGGGTACACAAGCCCGAGGAGCCCGAGCAGGTACACCTACAATCCCTGCAGCATGTTTGCGTGCTCACAACTGAACTACACGCCCACAAACTACAATTCGACTACAGCAGCAGCATCACCCCCCTTGTCCCGCATTTAACCAAAATGAGTGTTTGTCGACTACAGCGTACTGCTGTCTGAAGTGCTGTCTGTACAATAGTAGCACCATGATGGTGCATGGTGCACAAGCTCGAGGCATGCAGCTGCTGTCTGAAGTGCTGTCAGAATGAGTCCGTGGACATACAATGAAGAAGAACACCCAACCAGAGTCATCCAGATCATCTGTGTTAGGCACAGCAGTAGTGTAAACATCGGCACTGACTAGGAATCGTTACACATTGAAGGGGTCTTCCACGACGCAGGTACACAATAAAGACACCCGGGTTATCCGCGCCATCTCCGCCGCGTCTCTCTACAAAACCAGTGACGTCATCACACACACCCAACACATACTTTCAGGAAAAAAACGGAAAATCATTGACAACACAAGAGGCTATGTTTGTCTGTGCGCCACGGTTCGATGCCGTCCGCATGATCCGGTTCCGCTGCTCCGGTTCCGCTGCTCCGGTGCCGCTGCTCCGGTGCCGTTGCTCCGGTGCCGCTATGGCCAGTCCTAGCACGACTAAACTCGACCCGCTCCGCTTCGTACACGCTCTCGTTGCTGTCCTTCCCAGTCGGTTCCTCGCTTTCTCCCGCGTTGCACTTCGGGTTCTTGGTCCGAAAATTCTCGCGCGAAGGGTCAACCATCAGCCCAATCAGCTCGTCACCACCCGTCCCCTCCTCCTTTGATGGCAAAACCAGGTTACTGAGACAGTACAGCTCCCTCTAGCAAATCTAGGGCCGTGTACATGGTGCCCGTCCACCTTTCTGATGACGTCTGCCTCCGCGCATAAAGATGAGATGGGCATTGCTGCCTACACCAACGGCCTGGAGGCCCGCGCATCTGCACCTTTCTTTGTACCTGACGCACCAGTGCCGACCCAACTCCACCACTACGCACGCCTCGCGGCGGGTGCACCGCAGCAAGAAGGTATCGGTCCCCTGAGGGTGAGTCTAGCCCTGCTCGCTAGAAAGACCCCCCCTCTCGCTATGGGTCATGCCTACGCAAAACCTTGCCGCGGCAGCGAGGGAAAGAAGGGGAAGGAGTGCGGCAATTCAATATAATAAGAAAGGCAATAAATACCTGAAGACACCAAGTAGTAAACAGAGGCGTGTATCGCGACAGGAGGGTAATTCACACATTCTAGTTCTCAGTAAAAACCCACAACTAACCAATGCTTCACATATTTTTGTGGGAATATATATTCTCCTCGGCCTGCTCCCCGGCCGGGGCCGAAATCGACCTAGTGAGTCCCTCGCGGGCGAACCAGGACACAACAGATAGTAGGCGGGTGGTGTCCCAAGGTGCAACTCACCGCCGCGCTGGCTCAGCGTGGCGGTGAGGATGCACAGACGGTGGTAGTGGCGAGAGGTGTGTATGGACACTGTTCCCGCGGCAGTAATGCAAAGCGGCAAACTGCACCTGGCAACCACCGTCGCGGAAAGCGTGGCCCACGAAGCTGGAGGAGTAGAGAGATTCGTAAACACCACGTCAGTAAGCACCGCTCGCGGGAGAAGGGAGACGACCGCGGGCACCGCGGGGAGGGAGTGCTGCACCCTCCTCGTCAAAACACCACAGGCAAGAACCGAGCTCTGCAGAGATGGATTGATGCGAGGAAACTCGCCGCTCGGAAAAGACGGAAGAAAGCACACCCGCAACGCGAGGTGGACCGAGAGAGACACGAGACCGCAGCGGCCGTCAAGGCGGCTGCGAAGAAGAAGGCACGAGAGGGCGACCTATCGTTCGGCACGTTCAACGTACGCACGCTCGCCTACAGCGGTAGGAACCCCATCGGTCACAACGTGATGACGGTCATGCAGATTTGTTCCGCGACCGGCTGTGATGTGATAGGACTTCAGGAGACCCGACGAG